ATTTGACTAAAAATTAAAAATTAATCGACCAGTACGTGAACACTTATATCAGTCATATCTGTGAATAATTATGCTTTGACATATATGCATAATAGACAAAAACTACGGGCCGGCAACGCGGACCGGGCCAGCTAGTATTTCATATATTTCACAATGATCTCAATACCAAAATGCACAATTCTAGCTCTTTTCCTATTCTATGTACAATATTCAGTACCATTTATTACTGAAGTACGCATTTGCAATTCATCCTCCTTATCTAGAAGCTAAACACTCGTAGTGATCCTAGTACCAAAATTTATTTTCCATATTTATTGTTGCTACACTTCCTGCTGAAAAGCATGCATTTTCAAAAACCCCATTGTCTAAACCATACTTACCCTCACAGCAAAAAAAAAAAAAATACTTACACATATACTTACACTATGGAGTTCCAAATTCCAAATTCATATCCTTATATCAACCCTACTTCCAAAACATGATTCTCTTACAAAACTTCAGGATTTTACCTTGGACTTCTCACTTAATTTCAAATTATAACAAATTAAGAGCTATGTAAACCTTTAGTACACCCAAACCCAAATTGCACCCAACTTAGTACCAATTAGTTCAACTCTCACGCTTAGTACACATTCCAACTTAATTTTTACAACTTGTATCAAGATTTTAGCTCTATCTGTTCTCATAACACCAAGTGATTCGAAACTTAGAGCTTTTAGCTCACATGGTTCGAATTTCAGCGACCCTTATTTAAAAGTTCAGAATCTTAACTTTATCTTTTAAAACTATACTTGATTCAATGTTTTATACCTTTTAATACAATTAGTACCCTTACCCCACCCCTACACACCAACATTGGTCTACATGCAAAATTTCAAGATTCCACCTTCAGCCGTTTTGCCTGATTATACCAATATCAAATTTAGTACCGCTCATTCGTTCTTTTTCAAAACCATTTCATATCTCCACCCTACATACCAATATCTATAATTCAAATGTTAGTACCTTTCGTACATCTATGGTACGTTTTTCCATGTCACAACACTACACACCAATTCTGACCCCAACAACGAAATTCAGAAATCTATCTCTCTATCTAATTGTGTACCATTTATAACATTTTGTACTCCTGTAGAACTTATTTCCAAGAATAATTTAAAATTTAGGGTCTCCAACTCTGTAGGTTCATCCAAATTCAATTTGTACCAATGTTAGTACCATTTAGTACAAAACAAGTACGATTTTCAAAGTTCCTACATAACCCAATCCTACAATGCAATAGTCCTAATTCCAAATTTCAGGATACCAGCTCTATCGGTTCACCCAAATCCAAATTGTAGCCAATAAACAATTTGGTACATAATAATACAAATTTCCATAACTATATACATCATACAATCCAATAGAAATCTCTTTTTTCCAAATTGCAGGATTCCAATTCTACCGGTTCTCCCAAAATTGAAATTGCACCAAATTTTGTACCATTTAAGACACATAAGTTCGAATTTCCAAAACTTCCCACATATCTATCGGTTCTCCCAATATATATATATATATATATATATATATATATATATATATATATATATATATATATATATATATATATATATATATATATATATATATATAATAATGTAGTACTATTAGTACTAGTAATAATGTAGTACTATTAGTACTCATAGGTACGAATTTCGAAAAACGGTATATCAGTATGAACAGAAAGATTTTAAGTGTTTTGAAAACTTCCACCTCTGTTATATATATAAATTTCGAAAAACGGTATATCAGTATGAACAGAAAGATTTTAAGTGTTTTGAAAACTTCCACCTCTGTTATATATATATAAATATATATATATATATATATATATATATATATATATATATATATATTTATATATATATAACAGAGGTGGAAGTTTTCAAAACACTTAAAATCTTTCTGTTCATACTGATATACCGTTTTTCGAAATTCGTACCTATGAGTACTAATAGTACTACATTATTACTAGTACTAATAGTACTACATTATTATATATATATATATATATATATATATATATATATATATATATATATATATATATATATATATATATATATATATATATATATCTATATATATATATATATATAGAAGTTTTCAAAACACTTAAAATCTTTCTGTTCATACTGATATACCGTTTTTCGAAATTCGTACCTATGAGTACTAATAGTACTACATTTTGTACAATTTAAATTTTGAGAGAACCGATAGATATGTGGGAAGTTTTGGAAATTCGAACTTATGTGTATTAAATGGTACAAAATTTGGTGCAATTTCAATTTTGGGAGAACCGGTAGAATTGGAATCCTGCAATTTGGAAAAAAGAGATTTCTATTGGATTGTATGATGTATATAGTTATGGAAATTTGTATTATTGTGTACCAAATTGTTTATTGGCTACAATTTGGATTTGGGTGAACCGATAGAGCTGGTGTCCTGAAATTTGGAATTAGGATTACTATTGCATTGTAGGATTGGGTTATGTAGGAACTTTGAAAATCGTACTTGTTTTGTACTAAATGGTACTAAAATTGGTACAAATTGAATTTGGATGAACCTACAGAGTTGGAGACCCTAAATTTTAAATTATTCTTGGAAATAAGTTCTACAGGAGTACAAAATGTTATAAATGGTACACAATTAGATAGAGAGATAGATTTCTGAATTTCGTTGTTGGGGTCAGAATTGGTGTGTAGTGTTGTGACATGGAAAAACGTACCGTAGATGTACGAAAGGTACTAACATTTGAATTATAGATATTGGTATGTAGGGTGGAGATATGAAGTGGTTTTGAAAAAGAACGAATGAGCGGTACTAAATTTGATATTGGTATAATCAGGCAAAACGGCTGAAGGTGGAATCTTGAAATTTTGCATGTAGACCAATGTTGGTGTGTAGGGGTGGGGTAAGGGTACTAATTGTATTAAAAGGTATAAAACATTGAATCAAGTATAGTTTTAAAAGATAAAGTTAAGATTCGGAACTTTTAAATAAGGGTCGCTGAAATTCGAACCATGTGAGCTAAAAGCTCTAAGTTTCGAATCACTTGGTGTTATGAGAACAGATAGAGCTAAAATCTTGATACAAGTTGTAAAAATTAAGTTGGAATGTGTACTAAGCGTGAGAGTTGAACTAATTGGTACTAAGTTGGGTGCAATTTGGGTTTGGGTGTACTAAAGGTTTACATAGCTCTTAATTTGTTATAATTTGAAATTAAGTGAGAAGTCCAAGGTAAAATCCTGAAGTTTTGTAAGAGAATCATGTTTTGGAAGTAGGGTTGATATAAGGATATGAATTTGGAATTTGGAACTCCATAGTGTAAGTATATGTGTAAGTATTTTTTTTTTTGCTGTGAGGGTAAGTATGGGTTAGACAATGGGGTTTTTGAAAATGCATGCTTTTCAGCAGGAAGTGTAGCAACAATAAATATGGAAAATAAATTTTGGTACTAGGATCACTACGAGTGTTTAGCTTCTAGATAAGGAGGATGAATTGCAAATGCGTACTTCAGTAATAAATGGTACTGAATATTGTACATAGAATAGGAAAAGAGCTAGAATTGTGCATTTTGGTATTGAGATCATTGTGAAATATATGAAATACTAGCTGGCACGGTCCGCGTTGCCGGCCCGTAGTTTTTGTCTATTATGCATATATGTCAAAGCATAATTATTCACAGATATGACTGATATAAGTGTTCACGTACTGGTCGATTAATTTTTAATTTTTAGTCAAATAAGTCTAAAATTTGTAGATATGTTGAAATTTTTGTGTAAGATTTGAAATATGCTAAAATCAGGAGGTACCTTTATATGGGCCCTACTCCGAAACATCGACCTACATTGAAAACTTGTTCTATCCCTTATAATCAAAGATGACAAATAGAGGCCAAACAAAAACAAAAATATAGCAGAAAAACATAGCATGTCAAACTGAAAAAAAAAAAAAAAATTCACGTGATTTAAATAAGTAAAAATAGTTTTATTCAACTCATAATTGAGGGCAGACTGATTTCAGAATTGTCAAATATAATTACTATTATACACCCATTACCGTAAGATGGGAACTAAATTTAATTGTCATTTAAATTGTAAATTGGATACACCATAAAGTCTATATTTTCATCATAGTATAATTCAATGACGATTCAACAAAAATTCGGTCCCGTGCTACTTTCTTATATTTGTAATTTGTTCATGTTTTCACAATTTATTTCATATAGATGTACATCCCAAATTTACGTTCCCAACCAATAGAATACAAAATTTTCTTTTCTGACCACACATTAGATGTGAAAGTGGACTTGGGGATACTCCAATGTGTGGACTTTACTTACGTATGTGGCAATTATCTGTATGATGGCTCCTTACCCCAGGGTAGCATAAATACATTTTTTAGCCTAATCAATTGATGAATGTGGTCAAGACCAATATGGGCCCTACTCCGAAAATTTCAAATTTTATACGAAGAGGTTCTCTACCCCCTTAGAAACAAAGATGCCAAATAAGTGCCAAAATATGAAAAAAGTGACCAAGACACCAAAAATAGTTTAAATCATACGATGGTTATATAAATATGAAATCGGGTTGTACCCTTATCCGTGAGTTATGATCGATATCATGACCTGCAAAAGCGATTAAAGGTATCTTCAATGTTTGGGAAGAATTTCTGGAAGGATAGAAATCCTTTTCTTACTAAAAGTCCCATTCGCTCTACTATTTTGCACCCTTTAAATTTGACTTTTTATTGATTGTACTCCCAAAGAATTTTGCATTTTGAAATTGCACCAAATTTTGTACCATTTAATACACATATATATATATATATATAGGAAGAGGTGGTATATATATATATATATATATATATATATATATATATATATATATATATATATATATATATATATATATATATATATATATATATATATATATATGTATAAACTATTTCAGGTTTATCTATGTTGGAATATCAATCAATCAATGTAATAGAATAACGTCACAGTCAAAGTGAACCACTGAAATTGTTTTTTGCGCTAAATTAAAGTTAAATTCTATCAGAAATGTTTTAAACCGAAAACATGCGATCGGCTATGCATCAGTATTACATTAACAGGCATTTTGTGAAGATTGGCGGACAAACTAGCCTAGATTTGAGAAGGCTTTTTATTAAATTGCACCAGGAGGGGAAATCGCAAAGAAATATAGCAGAAAGCACTAAAATAAGCCGTGGAACTGTACACCACATTATACAGAGATTTAAGGACTATGGAAGAATCGAAAAATCCACGAAAGATTTTTACTGATTGCGACGAGGCTTACATTCTTCGAGAGATAAAGAAAGATCCTCATCTTAGCGCTCCAAAGCTCACCCAAATAGTCAACAATCATTTGGGAATTGATGCGAATCCTGAAACAGTAAGACGAGTTCTTAGAAAACACGGATTTAATGGGCGAATTGCTCGCAAGAAGCAATTTATTAGCCTAAAGAACCGAAAAAAAGAGATTAGCATTCGTTCGTGAATATTTTGCAATGGACATGAGCTTCTGGCAAAGGGTAACTAAAGTTATATAAGCATAAAAAATTACTAAATCCTCTTTATTAAGGTTTTATTTACGGATGAATCTAAATTTAACTTATTTGGACCAGATGGTAATCGTAGAGTGTGGCGACAGAAAAATACTGAATTACAGTTAAAAAATATTTTGCCCAACATAAAACACGGCGGTGGTTCAGTCATGGTTTGGGGCTGTATGGCTGGAAGTGGCACTGGAAACTTGCAGCACATACCAGGAATCCTTAATAAATTTGGATATATTGATATTTTAAAGGAAAATCTTAGACCAAGTGTTGAGAAATTAGGGATAGAAGAAGACTCCTGGTTTTATCAGGACAATGATCCCAAACACAAATCTCGTATTGCCATAGAATGGCTTTCAAATAATTGTCCCCATGTATTGGAAGTTCCTCCACAGTCCCCAGACCTTAACATAATAGAAAATTTGTGGGCATTACTAGACACAAATGTGCGAAAATATCATATTTCTTCCAAAAACGACCTCATACACCATTTGGAGGCTGAATGGGCAGCAATTCCATCTGCATATACAACCAAACTCCTGGAATCAATGCCAAGGCGTCTAAAAGCTGTTATGTTGGCCAATGGTGGGCCTACAAAATATTAAAATAGTATTATCAAAGTTTTTTGTAAAGTGGTTCACTTTGAATGTGACATATGAAATTCGACTTTTTTTAGTTTTTATTTATATTTTAATTTTAAAAAAGAATATTGATAACCAAGCACTTTTTAAATTATCTCTTGAGTTTAATGAATAAAATTGAATAATACACCCCAATGAAATCCACTTCTTTTTATGTTTTATAAGCAAAAACTTTTCAATGTTTGAGGTGGTTCACTTTCAGTGTGAGCCACTGTATAATGAATCTAAATAAAGAGGGATTTGTTAAGAGCTTGATAACTTAAAAAAAAAAAACGCATAAAATTTGCAAAATCTCATCGGTTCTTTATTTGAAACGTTAGATTGGTCCATGACATTTACTTTTTGAAGGTCCATTCGGAAAGTCCAATTTTGGGCAACTTTTTCGAGCATTTCGGCCGGAATAGCCCGAATTTCTTCGGAAATGTTGTCTTCCAAAGCTGGAATAGTTGCTGGCTTATTTCTGTAGACTTTAGACTTGACGTAGCCCCACAAAAAATAGTCTAAAGGCGTCAAATCGCATGATCTTGGTGGCCAACTTACCGGTCCATTTCTTGAGATGAATTGTTCTCCGAAGTTTTCCCTCAAAATGGCCATAGAATCGCGAGCTGTGTGGCATGTAGCGCCATCTTGTTGAAACCACATGTCAACCAAGTTCAGTTCTTCCATTTTTGGCAACAAAAAGTTTATTAGCATCGAACGATAGCGATCGCCATTCACCCTAACGTTGCGTCCAACAGCATCTTTGAAAAATACGGTCCAATGATTCCACCAGCGTACAAACCACACCAAACAGTGCATTTTTCGGGATGCATGGGCAGTTCTTGAACGGCTTCTGGTTGCTCTTCACTCCAAATGCGGCAATTTTGCTTATTTACGTAGCCATTCAACCAGAAATGAGCCTCACCACTGAACAAAATTTGTCGATAAAAAAGCGGATTTTCTGCCAACTTTTCTAGGGCCCATTCACTGAAAATTCGACGTTGTGGCAGATTGTTCGGCTTCAGTTCTTGCACAAGCTGTATTTTATACGGTTTTACACCAAGATCTTTGCGTAAAATCTTTCATGTGGTCGAATAACACAAACCCAATTGCTGCGAACGGCGACGAATCGACATTTCACGGTCTTCAGCAACACTCTCAGAAACAGACGCAATATTCTCTTCTGTACGCATTCGTGTGGTTGGTTTAATGTTAAACTGAGTGCGAAACTTGGTCACAATCGCATTAATTGTTTGCTCACTTGGTCGATTATGTAGACCATAAATCGGACGTAAAGCGCGAAACACATTTCGAACCGAACACTGATTTTGGTAATAAAATTCAATGATTTGCAAGCGTTGCTCGTTAGTAAGTCTATACATGATGAAATGTCAAAGCATACGGAGCATCTTTCTCTTTGACACCATGTCTGAAATCCCACTAATGCATGAAAATCCTAACCTCAAAAAAATCACCCTTTATATATATAAAATAATTAAACGCGGTCACACAAATTTAAAAGATAATAATTACTTTTTCAAAATCGCAAAAAAATATCAAGAAAAAGGAGATCTCATTGCAAAAATTCTCAAATCGGGAATAAATCGAAAAAACCATTTCAATTCAATCCAATTTTAAAATAATAGTACCTTTAAACTTCTGCTGTAAAAAATCATCGAACAAGGTGAAGATTTTTTTCTTTCTTCAATTGTTTTTTTTTAATTTTGTATAATGTACGATTAATTTCTAAATGATTTTTAAATTTGGCTTATCATTTTGAATTCAATAGATTTTTTGTAAACAAAATAAAGAATTATTTTCACAATATAAAAGAAAGTTATGTTAGGTACTACGCTTATAGCTAAGGAACGGCTTGACGGATTTTGACAATTCATACAATTATGGCATGGCATCCTGGATAAAAATAGCGGTAGAATATGCCAATAAAAATTTTAATGAAAAACAATTTTTTTGGTGTGATCTTTTTTTCAATATGACATACGATATGGAAGTGAACATTTTTTGTTATTTTGAATTCTGATTGAATAATATTAAAAATGAAATGAGTGACCTACGTACATCCTACTTCTCTCATATGACAATAATCCGTTCAGTGAGAACTCAAAATATGCAATTCATTGGGACTGCAATCAGTGAAATGCCAAATATAAAGGGTGCAAAATGGTAGAGCGAATTGAACATTTAGTAAAAAAAAGGATTAATATCCTTCCAGATTTTTTCCTAAACTTTCAAGAAATCTTAGATCGCTTTTGCAGGTCATAACATATGATTCTCGGTTAAGGGTACAGCCCGATTTCGAGTATAGTTTACATTTTAACCATATTGTGCATACTCATTTCAGCAAAGGTTGGTAATTTGAAAAGAAAACATCCTCGCAAAAAATTATCACGGTTTTGTATAACCCTCATATGATTTAAGCAATTTTCAGGGTCTTGGAAAAACTCTTCTCATGAGATTTTCAATTTTTGGAGTGAGGTCCATCTTGGTCTTGACCACATTCATCAATTGATTTGGCTAAAAAATTGTGTTTAGGCTACTCTGGGGTACAGAATCATCTTACAGATAATTGTCCTCATAGGCATTTATTTGAGTATAGTTCCTACATTAGTGTACTTCCAAGTCCACTTTCCCAAACAATGTGTTGTCAGAAAATAAAATTTTGTATTCTATTGAATTTGTAATCCCCAAGAGAATATTGGTTAAGAACGTAGATTTGGGATGTACGTCTATATGACATAAACTCCAAAATCTAAAACGCTTTCAGTCGGAAATTGTGGAGAAACATGAAAAAAATTACGAATATTAATTTCTTTTATCGTCATTGAATTATACTATGATGAAAAATATGAACTTTATGGGGTCTCCAACGCACAATTTAAATGACAAAAATAAATAAAATCCATTCTTACCGTAATGGGTGTAGAATAGCAATTATCTTTGACTATTCTGAAATCATTCTGCCCTCAATTATGGTGGACAAAACTAAATACCACGCAGCACGGTATTCTAAAAATTGGAAATACAAATTCCAAATTACAGCTAATTTGAATGGAAAATGTTTCTAAGTTCTTAACAATACCAAAAATTGAGCTGAGTTTTCACATAGGGCTATTATAGATGTTATATATCATGTAGGTTTTTAACACTCAAATTAAATCCTATGGCTGAAAAATAAGATCAGGCTATTCAAGATGTCAAAAACCGACGGTAGGTGAACATCTATTATAATTTTTGCCACAATTATTCATTTCTATTTAGAAATAACTATGGAGTCATAACGTACAATCAAAATTGTGCAAAAATACGGGTCGGCAACGCGGACCTGGCCTTCATATAACCCTTAAAAGAATTATTCAATTTAGACCATTCCTGTGATTGGATTACGACGATGGAAAACATCATCGAACTTTTTCTGGTTCGTCCCTCCAAAAAGTTCAAAATAAAAAATATAAATCTGATATAAATATAAATCGGTACGACGAGTACTAAATAGGGTACCTTTTGTATTTAAATTTACAATGAGAGTGACTGATGGAGTGTATGATGGATGTTCTAAAGGGTTTTTGGAAATTTACTCTATTAGTGTTCGAAAAGTACTAAAGAAAAGTGGGAGGAGTGGTGATGTAAGAGTAGTGAGAGGAGGTTGCTTATGTAAACGAAAACGGTACAAAACTTGGAACAATTTGAATTTGGAGGAACGGATAGAGCTGAAATCCTGAAATTTGTTTTTATGTGCACGAAAAGTGCTAAATGGTACTAAATATGGAAATGAGATTACTATTTCATTATAGGTCTGAGGTATGTACG